TTTTTTTTTTTTTTTTTTTCGTGTCTTTTTTTTGTAAAATATAAAAAGATGTATCACGATTAGATAAAAAAAAAGCGTTTACCAAAATGCGCGTATCTGAGAATAAGAAGACGCGCGCGAGATGCAACGTTCCTTAGGTTTTAAAAAGAAAATACTATCTGCCCGATACCGTCTTTAATTAAACTTAAAAAAAAAAAAAAAGAAAAAAAAAAAAACAAGTATGTTTCGAAGAGAGAGAAAAAAATATAAGAGCGATCGATTGAGATTTCTAATCGTCAGGGATGTTATTATGTATGACCAACATTCGATAAAAATGCATGCGTCCGCGTGAATGAAAAAATGTAATGTCAATGAAAATACGAGCGTGAAAGTGTGTGTATATGTGCATTTGTATGTGTATATGTGTGCACGTGAAAGAGAAAGAATAGGAGAGCGAAGTTATTGAGAAGAAAAATAAATTATAATAAGAATATTGCAAAAAAAAGAAATATAACAGAAAAAAAGAAACAGAAGAAGAGAAGAAGTACCGTAAAAAATTCGGTATCAACGCCGCGCATTTATTTCTGTCGGAAAAAAAAAAAAATAAATCTATTAAAATAATTATTATAATTATAATTATTTTTGTGTCGTCGTTTTAAATTTACTTACTATTTACCCTCGCACACACACATCCAATATCCCATATTATTTATTTCAGAGATTTACGTATGTTGCCATCACCTGTATATGACTTGTCAAATGAATCAATCTTTTAAACGAAGTTTTACAATTTTTTCTTATACAATTGAATATATATATTATAATAATTTTAACTTGATATTTAATATAATGAAATAATAAATAATATACGATTTTCAAATAATAATAAATGAATAATTAATTGTGGACAATGAATTAATGTTATAGATCGATAAAATAATATATTAAGTTTTCCGATTAATAATTATAATCGTAGAATCAAATGTACAAAAAAAAAAAAAGAAAAACATTGTACGGAAAATGTAAACTGCAAGAATGAGGCTGCAACAACAGGTATAATAATCGTAATTTTTTAATCCTTATCTACCTAAATAATATTCAATGCATTAATTTACTATTTGCGAGTTATTAGCAATTGTGTGTAAAATTCTAATTTATTCTTAAAGAAAAAGAAAAAAAAAATACATTATATTCTTCGAAATGCAATAGCACTTTTCTAATGTTTTCATCTCTCCGAGATACCACAAAAATGGTTGTCATGGAATTCCTGGTAAGTATATTTAAGAAATTAAATTAATTTAATTCAAAAAACAAGTCTGCCCTTCGTCTCAACCCCCACCCAATCCTTGTTTTTTCGAAAAATTATATCGTAAATGAGAAATACTAATCATGCATTACGAAACGACGGGTAATCTCGAGTATGAAATATATTTGATCGTAAATTATCTTGTACTTTTCGTTAGCATAACAACACCACAATTATACCGTTCATGGTAAAGTTGTTGGTAGACAGGATTGAACTCAAAACTATTTGATCGAATCTCTCTCTCTCTCTCTCTCTTATTCTCTCTTTTACTTTTCGTCTGTCTGTCTGTCCGTCCGTCCGTCCGTCCGTCTATCTGTCTGTCTGAAAAGTATGACTCGAAGAGAGAACGAAGTTTTCCAATTAAATTCTCACGAACGAATCGTTTCATGGATCCTCTCGAAAGGTCTTTTGAAAATAAATGAATGAATACGAACGCGATCACTCTTTCTCTTTATCTCTCTCTCTCTCTCTCTCTCTCTCTCTCTCTCTCTCTCTCTCTCTTTCTCTTCCTCTCTGTATATTTTTCTTCTTCCTTTTTATTATGTACATTGAAAAACCATAAAATAAAAGTGTTCCTTCTTTCTGTAGAAACAAGACCACAAAGATAAAAATAATATCGTCAAAAATTATACCGTTTTTTTTTTGTTTTGTTTTTTTTTTTTTCAAATGTGCACGTAATACAAAGAGTCTCGTAAAAACTAAAGACTTCAAATGTTTGATAATAAATACAGAGAGTTGTATACAGTAAACCAAGGAGCTGCTGGATTGTATATTCTTTTCCTTTTTTTAGGAAAAAATTTGTTTATTTTATTATTTAACGAGAGCCCTCCTCGTTGTCGAATGAATACGAAGTTTTGTGCAGAAAGTTCCCATTAATGCAATTTTACCATCCATCGCATCGATACACTCTTGCAATTATTTTTTATCTGCAAAAGAAACAAAGTTTATAGTTCTCTACGGTTACTATTATAATAAGTACACCTTCAACATAGATTTTATATGTTTATTTTTGCGATATTATCGTGCCAACAAAAATGTATTCTCGTCCTCTCGAAGAAGAAATTGTACGTAATCAAAAATTTTAAAATATTTTAAAACATTTTTTCAAATTTACACGTAGTACAAAAAGTTGACAGAAAAAAAAAAAAAAAAAAAAAAAGCAAATGATAATATAATAAGGTGTCAGATGATAAATATATATTTAATATATTTTGCTTTTGTGTGATATACAAATTTTGGCCTATATATCGTATTATTAAGGAACTCGTACGATTTTCTACATGACTCTCTTTCTCTCTCTCTTTTTCATTTTCTTTAATTCGTCTATCACGAATCATTGCGAGTTTTTCTTTTAATGAGTGCGTAAAGACCCACCCGTTTTTATCTTCATCATCATCATCATCATCATTATTATTATTATTATTAATAATATTATTAATATCATTATTACATTTTTTACTTTTTTTTTTTTTTAATAAAAATTACTACATGTCACGCGGTAGCTAATAATACTTCTCTGCTAGTATAAATCGAAGCTGCTTTTTTTTTTTTTTGTATAACCATTATTAATATTATTATTAATATTATTATTATTATTACTATCGTTATTATTAATATTATTAATATTATTATTATTATTACTATCGTTATTATTAATATTATTAATATTATTATTATTATTATTAATTTTCTTGAATATACCGCGTATCTCTCTAACCAATCAAAGAGAGACGATTACAAAAATATTCATATATATTGTACTAGAGTATGTGTACTAGTTGTTATCTTTTTTTTTTCGTCCAATAATCATATTGTTCTATCTCATCGAAGCTATCTATCTATCATCAAAGTTCCTGTTGGCAATTATTATTATAATATTTCCCAGCATTTTCACGCGACATCGAAGCATTTTCATTATTTCTTTTTTTTTTTTTTTAATTTTCTTCTTTTCTCTTTATTTTTATTTCACTTTACTTAACTTTTCTTTCCGTTCCTTTCTTGCTTTTCTGCTTTCGTTTAATTTTCAGAAGCGATAGGTTATTTACTTAAATATTTGTCTTTTTTTTTTGGCGATACACAAATGCACAACGACGTTTATTAATTATAAAATATTGCGACTAGCGCACAAATTTATTTCTTCTTCTTCTTCTTCTTGTTTTCTTTTTTTTCGACGATAAAATTATCAAATCTATTATTCGAATGACACAATAATGCATTCGCGTTCTACGTGATTGAAGAATTCGTTCGTTAGATTTAAAATTAAATAAATTAAAATATAACATTTACGCTCATCGCGCTAATTTTTCTTTCTAATATTCTTTTGAGATACTATAAGTTAAATTGAAAAAAATTAATATTCGATCGACAAACGTGTGTCTTTTTTTTTTTGCTACGTTGAAATTTGTTAGTTTGGAGAAAAATCTTTTTTAAAATCCTTCTTAATACATCCAAAATGTTGATTCAAATAGAATTATTCTACAAATTGTAAAATTTTTTTATCGTAAAAACTACGTATCGATTTTTGAAATACGAATCGCACGAAATTGAATTAATTTTTAAATGTAATAGTAGTAGTAATAGAAGTAGTAGTAGTAGTAGTAGTAGTAGTAATAGAATCGTTGTTTTAAATCTCGCTACTGGAGTTAAAAATTTCATTGAATTTAAAGTTTGAGTATTTTGTTTTTTTTTCGATTTGAAATAGGCAACGAGTAAAGAAACAAATCTATGAAGAGAAATCGTCTTCTCAAATCGATTAATCCTATAAAATACATTTAAGTAATTCGTTAATTCGTTAATTAATTAATTATTGTACACATCATCGCTGCTAACACTAATCACCGGTTATCTAAACTCTCGAGTTTTCAAAAAAAAAATAAAAATACAAAGACTACGGATAACGAGTGCGACGTATAATCATTATTCATAAAACGTTCACGCGTATCATTAAAATATATAAATATTATACATAATACAATAACACAATAACGCGTTTTTTGTTTGATCAATGAGGAAGGGTAGTTTGAATGCATACTTTCGAATGCACATAAAAACTACAATCGATCCTGCCAAATGTTAAAATATACATATACAGAAATATATACAAGATATTTCAAAAGTCGTTTTACCGAATTAAAAAGTTATAAATTTGATTTGTATAAATCAGAGCTTCCACAAAAGTGGATCACGATCTCCCTATGGAGTCGCTTAACTTAATTTGAGGATTGTAGGAATTCGAGTAAAATTAAAATATTCCTCGGACGTTCACAAAATTACTAAAAATTAATTCAAAATTAATTAATCAACACTACACGTATGGTATGTCTGTAAATTTACGATAAAATGAAAGAGAAAAGCCAGTGTAATCTTTTTACTCAAGATCTTGAAAATATTTACTCGTATAAAGTAAGACGTCATCAAATGGGAAAAATTTATATCTTGAAATAAAAAAAAGAAAATACACTAAAACACACTGTATATTAATAAATTAAAATAAATTAATATTATTTTTGGTTTTACTCTTTTTATCGGTATAAGTGACTTTTGGGACACCCTGTATATCTCGATAAACAACACTGGACTATCATCACATCAAATATCGTTCACATGTTCCCCAAGTAAAATTCTATTACCAGATAACTCGATATATTCCTTTTATTTTTTATGAAACGCTACTTCATATTATTATACACAATTTAATTAAAACAAATTTTCCTATAAAAGTTACTCTCGTATATTTCATTTAACTTTAATTAAAAGTAATATTCATTATAACGCGTAATGGCATTCGTGATATATTTTTTTTTTGTCAAACAAATTAAAAATTATATTTAAAAAGAAAGAAAAAAAAAAATAACGGCGTGACATAATAGAACTTTACTGGTTAGAACAACTTACGTGATTAGAACGAATCCTAAGTCTTCTACGTATTATACACACTACCGACCGAAAACTTAGATCAACTTCAACTAACATTTTTTGTTTCCTACCAAATCAATTTATATCTAATCGTAACAGAGATAAACAATCTATGACATCATTGCCTCAATTCGTAGAAAAGTAAATAAAAAAACAACAAAAACCAAAGTAAACGTTCAAAGTATTCTAACGTGATATAATGAACAATACTGGTTCTTTGCTGTGAAAGCTTATTACTTATTATTTGAGGAAAATATCTGATCAATTTAAATAATAATAAAATTACATAAAAATTTTCCCAACGTGTAAGCTGTGAACCCCGCGTATTATATGGGATAGTCAAGGCTACGCATACGAATATTTAACTTAGTTTTTAATACAAAATAAAAATATATTCGTACTTGTATCGAGAAGAATTGCTTTTCGAATATAAATTTTCTTTCTTATATAATTAGTGACAAATATATTTTAATTCATATTTCTAATTTATATTTTCCTCTATACCTAGAGATCTTGAAAATATTTGTTTCAAGCAAAGAAGTTCATCGAGTGGAAACGTTTAATAAATTTCGATATAAAACGTGTGCAAGAATAAATAATTGTTAACGAAATGGAGACTCCATAATTTGTACTTAAATATATAATGCAAATGCGGTAAGTGTACCCAAATTTTTAGCCGGTAGTGTATATAATTATACGTATAATTATATATTCAAAATATACAATTCTCTATCATCGTCGTAGGTCAACGTAACGACCTACTTCATCATGGCGCAATATATTATAACTATAGCTAGTAAAAATCGAGGGTGTGTTTATTATTAACATCGAGAGCATAGGCTCTTGTTATATTCGATACACGTTTCAATGCATTTCGGCATTGCGGAACAACACAAGACGATTATTAATTAAAATATACATGTATATATATTTATATTCTTTTTCGTTAGCACGCAAAAAAGATTTTTTTCGGAAGAAGACGCATGTTTCTTCTTCTTCTTCTTATACACTCCGCGAGCGAATACTGTGTCGGGGGAAGAAAAATAAAAAAAGAAATTATAATTCCTCTTGCACGTGTGTGAAAATAAAATAAAATACAAAATAAATCTTACAAAGCTAACAATATAAACGTCTACGTCAGACGACGATATTATGGCTCAGAATCGGATTCGCTTAACGCGACAAATCGCTGTATTAGGCCATGATTATACTGTTACTATCGATGCACCGTTAATCCTATACTATTCGATAAAAATGAGGAATCTTAATAAACGAAAATTAACATGTTCCGTGTATACCACGTAGGTCGTATACATCCCACGCAAAACTTTTTGTTCAGACCAATTGAAATTGAATAAAATAATATATAAAATGGAACTCATCGTAACGTTCTGAATTACATCTCTTAAACTTTATACTTTTATATTAATAAATATCATTTTGTCAATTATTATAAATATTCTAACATATATATACACATCAGAAGTAAAATAATTAATCATATAAACGTGGGATGTTTACGAACCCCATACAACTTGGGAACAAAACGAATTGGTTTAACACAGACCAAGTAATATTTTTGTTTACTCAATAAATATTGCACAAAGTATACATAATTTCAAAGTAATAACGATTAACAAATATCTCCGACAATTGAACAGTATAATCAAGTAAACCTTCACAAATGTAGCAACGGTGAAGTAGAACGCCTTCGAGTAATTGGAAAAAATAAAATTGACGCGAGGAAAGTTTGTAAAAGGGCTAAAGATGCGCAAGGACCTCAACAGCAGGTACCGGTGGCGTTTGATCACCACTAAGGATTACGGGATCGGCTTCGGTTTGTACGATCCTGACGAGATTCGCGTCCTTCTTCGAGGGCACCAGATTAACATTTGGCGTTGGATTTCCTCGCGTGCAATAACTCGGTGGTCTGCTTTCTCGAACAGTACCACCACCACCACCACCACCACCAGCAACGATACTACTTGCATTCGACCTGTATGTGGGTGGTGGAGATGAAGTTGGTTGCAACCGGTCTAATAACAGCAACCGTAACCTATACTCCTGCATGCTCGCCTGAAATCAACAGAAAACAAATTTAAAATCGAGTATTAAAGATGGGAAACTTTCTAAACGGAGCTACAACTACAACAACGTGTATTCAAATTGGATCATAGGTTCTCGACAATTACGCGAACTCAATTTAATCGTGACATGCAGCAGTGCATGTATCAAGTGTGTCCACGAGTTCGTTCAGAATTTTATTTATACGCACACTTTCAAAAACATTGTAAATATAAAACGTATTTTATCGTTTGATTTCTATGTTTTCTTTTTATTTTATCAAGCTTGATAAAAACATTTCTTTTTTTTCTTTTTTTCAATTTTCTTTTTACAGATCGCAAAATAACAGTAACTACGCGGGACGAATTAAGCTCTTTCGTAATTCGATCCTGTTACTCGGGTTCATCCTCGTTATCAAAGTCAACAATACTCAAAGATAACAAGAAATAACAAAAAAAAACCCATCCATTCGTACCGCCGTGTATCGATATTCGTTTAAAAAGAGAAAGAAAAAAAGAGAGGGAAAAAAACCCAGTTTTTTTTAAAAATCCAATATTAACAATGGTCAATGAAAAACTGAATGATTGAGAGAAAGAGAGAGATGGTTGCAATCAAACCGAGAATATAACTTAATCGAAAAAAGTGAATCATACACAACACATGATCTAAATACGAATGAATTTATTGATCGACCTGTTACTACTAGACCAACAGAACGCGGTTTTACTATTTCGCAATGCAAATCACGATCGACGACTACGCGCTACGTAACTTCACCGGTAGAAACATACAAAGAGAGAAAAGAAAAGGCGTGACACGGTTGTATCGATTTCGTCTAGATTTACAAGAAGAAGTATAAGTAGAAGAAGAAGAAGAAGAAGAAGAAGAAGAAGAAGAAGAAGAAGAAAGAAAAATTACTTTAGCAGGTTATACAAAGATCTTTGAAACCGTCTCATTTTTTTTGTTTATTGTCTTTTTCTTTTTTCCTCTTCTTCTTGTTCTTATGTTAGCCATAGATCGTGAGTAAAAAGTTACCTGGTAACTCGGTGGTGGTGTTCTAAATTGGAATTCCGGATAAATCATGGCAGCGTATGGGTGTATCGGCCTCGCCGGTGGAATCCGACCGGTGATCCCCGTGAAACCGAAGAAGCTGCCGCAATTTTCTCGGCTGGTCACTCGCCACGCCACTGCGCTAACACTTACAAGGACCACTCCTATTCCTGCAAACACCGGACAACCAGATATATATTCTGTATCGATACTCTGTGAGAAACAACGATAATAACGATTTTATTGAAGTGTTTTGACATATTTCTAAATATATTTTTCTATTTAAATAACTTTTTTCTTTTTTTTTTTTCTAAACAAATAAATTCATCCACTGTATATAAAATACGTTGTTAAAATTATGTCACACAAAATGAATAAACAAATAAAAACGAAAAAATTATATGAAGAAAGTTTTAAAAGTCGAGTAAAAAATATTATTACATATTTATTATCGTTTTATATAATTTATCGAACGACCGGATAAAAAATGTGTACAATGGATAAACGTTAAATATTTTTTTCAAACACCGAATTATTAAATACACTGTGTACAGTAGTGTGACAAATGACTGAAATGATATTTACAACGATGACACTTTATTAACACACATTTTCTATTTAAATTATATTTTTTTTTTTTTTCAAGCAAAATTTATTTATTTTCTATTTTAATATTTTTACTACGTCTTTTAAAATGATCGCGATAAATACTCTCACAAACAAAGAAAATAGAAAAGGATACTTTAGAAACTTTCTTAAACAGAGTGAAAATAAATAATTATATCGTCTTATGTAATATGACGATCAAATACAAGCGTGTACAGTGACAAAACGACGAAATAACACTTTTACATTTTCTACTTAAATATTTTTACTAGGTTGTTAAATTATTGCGCAGAAATAGATAGAAGAAAATAGGGAAACGAAAGAAAGAAATTGAAAAATGTATATATATACAAATATTTAGAGAAACTTTTCAAAGAAATATCAGAGATTGCAATTGCTGTAAATTGTACAACTTTACTATTTCTTTGAAAAGTTTCTGTAAATATTTTTTATACTAAAAGTGAGTTAATTTTAAGGAATCTTATATTACATTAAAAAGTTTCTGTAAATATTTTTTATACTAAGAGTGAATAGATTTTAATGACTCTTATATTATATTAAAGTATACCCTTTTTCCTACGTGTAAAATAACTTATCGATTTATAAATTGATTTGCAAAGGTTCAGGCTATATTTTCTAGACATTAGTTAGACAGATATTCATAGAGATTGCCACGGAAATCTGTATCTTTTGTTCCCTATCGTATCGGAAGATACACAGGTTTAAAACGAAATGTTATTTACGTGTATGGGTTGTTTTGGGGGGGAAGGGTTGCGTAGTGCTGTGTGTGTCTGTTCCGAGAATGTATTGTTTTCAACGTTGTTTAAATAGTAATTTGATATTCTATAGAATATCAAAGTATTATGTTTGATGCCTAGGAAAAATGAAAGAATTTTTCATATTTCTGACTTCGTCTGAAGGCTCTGTGCATTCATAGTAATGCCGAGGAATTACTAACAATGACTGATTTCCGGCTTTGACGGTAACATATATATTTTAGAAACGTTTCTTTCTTAATCTCGAGTCGAAGAAATGATTATTATTCCACTAACGTATCATTTTCTCGCTAGTTCCTTCCTTTTCGTTCGTTAAAATCTCCGCGCGCGCGCATTAAAAATGAAAATCGGTGAAATCTATTCTTCTATACCCGTTTACTTCGTGCAAAGAATATAACGAACGATGAGAAAACACGAAGACGTTGTTTTGTGTTTTTCTCGGCCGACAGATTCTTTACGAGGATCGTTGTTGGCTCGATGAGAAAATACTTTCGACAGTCTCTCCTCTCTCTCTCTCTCTCTCTCTCTCTCTCTCTCTCTCTCTTTCTCTCTTCCCAAACGTAAACTCGTCCGATAAAGAGAAACTCGATTGATTTTAGCATAGAGATATTTCCAACAGGGGAAATTTTCGAGCGTGCGAGCATAACATTTCATTTCCGTAATTAGATAGACTAGCTTCGACATTATACAACTAAAATAGAAATATATGTTCAGAGAGGGGGGGGGAGGCCAGGTAGCAATACACGAATCCAATTAAACGAATTACGATGACTATCTCTTCAATATATTTCGTTATTAATTTTCTATTTAATATTATTCGTATATTTATTAATTAACGATAATATAAATATTTTTTCGAAATATATACGATGTAAAATAAGTATATAGATAAATATATTATTTTATAATCAATCTCTTTTGTATATATAATATTATACTATTTAAAATATTTTACAAAATTATAATATTTTTAATATATATCCCATTAAAATCCTGAGATAATGTTTCTTATTGTTTTAACTAATCAATGTATTCATTTGTTCCTATAACATACACGATGTATTATTATAATTCAAAATACTGGCCCAATAAATATCTACATTATTCATGATCAATCGATATATATTCTATATATTATTATAATTTATTATAATCAATCACGCAGTAGAGTAGTTGTTTACGTGAGACCTGAGAGAAATCGAAAATTGGAAGGGGATCCCATTAATTAATTAAGAAGATAAAGTCCTCCTTGTCGTCATCGTTGTCGTCGTCTTCTTCTTCTTCTTCTTCGTCTAATGTAAGCTGCCTAATCTCAACTATCTTTGTCTTACTCCAATGATCTCACGGTGGTTGTCTGTGCGCACGTGTGTAGGTGGTGTACGACATCGATCTCTGTAGGTTAGAACGTTCTCCCCCATTGTGAGAGAAGCATTCTGAACGGGTCGCAGGTTACATGCCCACGTTTAGAAAGTAACTGTTGCGAGTGCTTGCTCTGCCTTCCCTTTTTCCCCCTTCTCTCCCAGCCCCCCCTATCCCTCCTCTTTTTCCTTACAATCTCGCGCATTCGTATTTAAAGTAAGTATTTGAGTGACTGATGTGAAAGAGTGAGTATATAACTAAATATTGTTTTATTCTTCGTCACCACACTGGACTATTTTTATCTTTTTTTTTTATCTATTTCTTATCTAATTCCCACTCCATTGTATGAAAACTACGATCTTTATTATTATATATTATTATTATTATTATTATCATCACTTGAATTTTTAATTATCATCTATTCGTGTCATCTCTAATTCTCCTAACTCTACTATCAATAATAATCTAACAAAAATAAATGTAATCGTATTATGCAAATGAATAAACGTAATATCGAAAGAATTATTTAGTCGATCCCATTGGTTGCATCCTACCCAATTCTTTCTTTTCTTTTTTGTTAATCCTTAATTTTTAAATAACATCTCTTTTTGTATCACCTTTTTTAATCCCATAACTCGTTAAAATAAATCAACGAATGAATAAAACAAAAAAGATTGATTGTTGTGAATAAATAAACGTTGTATTGAATGAACTATCGTTTGGTTGACCCATTTGTTACACTTACCCCCCTCTTCAATCTTTCTCTCTCTCTCTCTCTTTCTTTACGCTTTTATCTAACAACCGTCTGCGTTTATGGAAAAGTTTTCCTACTCTTTCGTTAATTCGTGCGAAAGAAGAAGAAGAAACGGACGCAGAGAGGAGTCGTCGTGAATGTTCGCGAGACAAAACAGGTTTCCGATCGGCCTCTTCTCTCGTCCCTCCTATCCTCCCCTTCCACCCTTCTCTTCCTCTTTCCCAGCCCTCGAGCAAAAGCCACCACGAAGCCGAGTCTTAAAGGCTAGTTCTCCTGATTCTTTTCTGCGTCACGTCGTTTTTCTTCATGCATCTTCTTGATTCAACTACATCTCTTAGTTATACGGTGTGTTTTTTTTTTTTTTTTTAAATATCTCTATCTCCTTTTATCTCTTCCTACGATTGTTCAAATCGTTTTCTTTTTTTTTTTTTTTTATATTTTCAACAAGTATCACATTTATATGTACGAACGACGAGAAAAATAATAAGAAAAAACAGATAAGTTCTTTTTTTTTCGCAAGGTATTTCTATCCCCCTCCCCCCCCCACACACATACACCGTTACAAAGTGGCACACGGCGGTATTTGTTTTCTTTTTGTTTCGATTACGAATTTATTTCATCATTTAATTACGCAAGGAAAATAAATTATGCGTAGATCGGTGGCTAGTAATAAAAGAAAGAAAGAAAGAAAGAAAGAATGAACGAAAGGAAAAAAAAAAGGGGGAAAGAAAAAAAGATTCGATGATCGTTCGTGTTGTGGAACTTGTTCAGAATGTTAATATGGCTGCTGCTGACTACGTAAGTTCTTTGTTAAACCATCGAAGTATTTACGCGATGTGTTGTTATCCGGTACCATTCGTATTACCTTTATCGAATTCTAAAAGCGTATGGGGAGTTCCGTTATATTTGGTAACATCTAGGGGCCTTACAATCGTCCTTGCGAATAAATACATCCTACTGTGTTTCGTTTTATCGTTCGATATAAATTAGGGGAAGAAGTTCGAATCTAACAATAAAAGAATTGAGATAAAAAAGTGGAAGGAAAAAAAAAGTAAAGCAAAAAAGGGAAGGATAACACACCGAAATAAATAGTAAATAATATAATTAATATTTTCGAGATTACTTATATATATATAATTATTAAGATATATATAATATCGTGATTAAGTAAAAAAATAAAAAGAAAAAAAAGGATAATATCGAAATGAATCGTAAATGAAACATCGTATAATCGCGAGTAAAAGAATAATAATAATTTAATTGTTAGAAAATTTTTCCTTAAATAATTTTCTTATTCGTTTTTGTTATTATTTTTTTTTTTTTAAACAAATATTATACGATGAAATGCCAAGCGAGCGTGGGAGCAGCAAGCAAACGATTTAAATTTCAAGAGGAATGCCATCCTGCATATTTCATGATCTTACGTCTCTTACGAGATTCTACTTTTTGCCGTCGTTCCAAAGGGAGACAAGGACGAAGGACATTTTTGCATTTGCATAAATCGAATTTGCGGAGAGCGAAAAAAGAAAGAAAGGGAGAGATAGAAATGAAATGGTTCTTCCCTAGTAAAGTAATTCCTGAGTATCTTCAATTTCTTTCGGCCTCGACATAATTTCTCAACTATTATCATCTATGCATATATGAGCCACCTCAAACTGCCAAATAGATAAATTCGTTTAAACAAATATGTAAAAAGAAAAATGAATAAAATAATATTATACGTTATATTATTTAACGTCCATTACACAATTATTTCTATTAAGTGGTATAATAAAATAAAATAAAAAAAATGAAAGCATCGATATGAAATAATACTTATGATATTTAAAATTGTAAAATATTTGACAAGTTAATCGTTTGAACATATAAGTATATTGCATATATAATTTAATTAGAGATTTATCTTCGTGCGGTTCCTACTGGCAAAAGAACCAAACGAAATGAATTAACGAATGAACGTTTCTAACCAGTCTACGCTGCCATATTTGGAGACGTTGCAAGGCGTTGCAAGAAGAGCATGATGTAATTAAATGAATAACTATTATACCTAGAGATACGATCGTCCCTAACGATTACGATTTGCTCAATCGATCTATCGTTATAATTCTTTCGAGCGCATAGGCGTCTTCTTCTCTCTTTCATTTGCATCCGCATCCTATAATTCGCTTGCCAAGGTTATCTTTTTGTGAAACTGAACTACGCAACATCCTAACCGCCTAAGGCCGTTTTACGCGTTCTAATTAATAAGAGATTGATTCTTAACATCTAATCTTGATCGCAATGATTCATCGATAACGTGATTTAGTATTGGCTAATTTTCTTTCTATCTTTCTTTCTTTTTTCTTGTTTTTTTTTTTTTTTTCCAACGTGAGACCTACGAAGACCAGTCGGGCCAAGTGAAATTGAAATCACTTAGAGTTTTTTCCTTTTAAGATTTTTTTTAAATATACAATTATATCGCGCAAGGCTAGACACGGAATGACAGGAACGGGAGCCTCGAGCGTAAAACGTTGCATAAGTTCGTACAAGTTTCTCCATTTGAAGCGAAGACACCCAACACGAGGAACGGAAATCGCGAGAATAAGAGCAATTATATGATTGTCATGATTTTCTATGGGACAAACCACACGTTTTTCATCAAATCTCAACACCGTATGTGATACTAACAAGGTAATATTCGTTTTTATTTAAAATCCTAGACGTTTTATTAATCCCTTAACGCGCACACTTTTTTATTTTATCACCTATGGAAAATCTTTCTTGAACAATTCAGAGAGAGAGAGAGAGAGAGAGAGAGAAATAGGAAGTATTATATAAAATTATTTAAATTTATTTTCAATTACAACGAACATTCTCCAATGTCGAGATTATATTTTTTTATTGCGCGAGTCTATTTGACGTATTTAAATAAAACGTAATATCGCCGTGTGTCCGAGTCAAACAAAATTATTCAAAATAAACTTTAATTATATATAGATATACTAAAAATAATAATTTCATTTTTTTTTTTTTTTTTTTATTTAATAACTTTCACGAGAGATTATTTTCCGATAAATCGATCCGTTTGCATAATTATTTAAATATTTACGTAAGATAGGACGATGTTTGAATTAAACTGGATTGTACACGCGTTACTTGTCACTTCGCATAAAATGCATTCGAGCGTGCGTGTTTAAAGTGTTAAACATAAACAGTGATAACTTAATCTTTGTAATAAAATCGATTGGATACTTGTATATAAAATAAGATTGTCGAAGGAAAGATCATACTTATTCGCTAAAACTGGTGAGATTGTTGGACGGCAAATCCCCAAAGGCAAACTAACATCTCAGTCAGAGATTACGACCTGGAAATGGTCGAACGAAGCTCGAGGGTATCACCGCTAAAGAGTCCCTGGTTTAACTGTTAACTGTTAACAGTATAATCCGATCGTTTCGTTCAACTTCGAACGATATTTTTTTACCTGTCTTTCTAAATGTTTTTTCTTTTATTTTAACTTCCTCCTCCATCTACTCCACGAAAACGTAACTCTTTGAAATAAGCTTTCATCAAAATGACCTCGTAATTAGCAATAATAGTCAACGGTTCTTTTGTTCTTTTCAAGAAGAGGAAAGAAAGAGAAAAAAACTATTGTCGGATAATACCGTGCGACGTTTTCTACGAACTATAAATAATAACCCAGTGTCCATTGTTATTCCTTCGAAACGGTTCTTCGAACAGTATTATTAACATTTTCTAGTTTCGAACGATTCCTGGTATTATTGGATTGTCCGAAAAGTGCATATCGATTTATAAATTTAAATAGTCCACATATATTTATATTTAGATTTTTATTCGATAAAAATATATAATTCAAATTAAAATCAATATTTTTCATTGTAGAATATTTCGAAAATAACGAACACAACCCAATTATCATAGTTATCATAGTTCAAATATTATATAAACAATATCGCATTAGGATTCAATGTCTTAAGAATATATAAAAATTCAAACAAATATATATTTAATTTCTTGCAAGACATGAACACTTACCGATCATGAGAAGGGCCACAGCGATGTGATCGCGTCCCGAAGCTCTGAGTGCACCCAAAAGTGCACCAGCACCGGCACAAACAAGGCCCACCACTCCCACACCGAGTATGGACCAACGTACCGGCGGGGAACCTAAGCCGCAACATTGCTTCGGTACTGCGTCCCTGAAAGACAAGAAGCGATCGTCAGAGAACTGACCCACTGACACACACTCCTTTTCCTCCTCTTTCAACTACTCGTGCACTGGATGCTGCTGCTAAGACGACAACGGCCAACAACCAAGGAAGAATCAAGAGGCCAGCCGTTATTACACTACACACATACACACACACACACACACACACAATGTAGCAGCACCTTTGAACACAGGATTGCTTCAAAAGGATGACAGTACAGCATCAGCACTTATATTCATCCTTACCTTCCTTCCTTCCTTCCTTCACTTTTCATTCGTTTTGTTGTTGTTGTAAGTACATCCTATCAATCTTCTCTTCGAATTGGATTTAATCGTTCAGTAAAAACGCGTACCCATATACACCATGTCATTTTTTTGCTTCCTGTGAATTATCTGGGTCTGGCATACTGATACTCTCTACTGATAAGTCTATAAAACGAACTTACGACTCTTCACAACGATCCAAGAAGCAGTTACTACGGATGAGATAAAGCATCGTTTTTCTTCGAGATCGACAGTAATACGGTCTTAATGGTCTTCCTCTCTCTTTCTTTCTTTCTTACTTACTTTAATAGGATGGTCCTATATATATATATATATGTAGGATGAATCATGCAACTCGATATAATACATATACCCTTCACATATTTTTAATAGTCAATTATATCCAACAAAATGTTGCATCTCGTAGATATAATCTGTTTCGACAGAGCCATTAAACGATTCATCTCCAAAAAAAAAGAAAGAAAAAACGAAAAGAAAATAACAATAAACAACAACGAGACATATTATCAAATGGTTCGAATATTTGGCCTGAAAATATAATATAATTACGCTTGGTATGATAATGATGCGAACGATTCAAAGCCAAGAGACAACTGTGGTACAAAATTGGAGGAAGGGTGCCAAGGGATGGGAAGGGAATGGTGACTTTGAAAGATCACAAAGCTCGAATGGACTTATTGCGGAACAGGATGGTAGATTTACGAGACTCCTTGTACCGTATCCGTACCCGTACCCATACCCATATACCCGTACCCGTAGCCAACCAGTGGCTCGGCCCTACTTCGCTTGGCTCAGAGAACGGTTCTCGATCTCTCGGCATGCGTTGAACTTTACTCGGCCGTATAATTGACGCCATTCGCCGGTGCATGGTCCGTTGCACGGATTACACGCACACGAACGCGCGTTACACGTTACCTTCCCTACCTCCACCCGTTTAAACACCGCTACCATATCTCTCTATCTCTCCTTCCTTCTTGTGGCTGAAACTTCACGGGACCTGGTATTCCACGTTAAAACTCGACTCCAACGGGCATTTGCCCGTCTATAATCCAATTATCTCGCGCGTTTCCGCTCTCCTGTCCGTCCGAAGATAATCGTCATTAAGTTCGCTTCGACGCCATGGTCGCGGAATTAACTGACTACTCTCTCTCCATCGTTCGTCGAATAAATTTGAAAAAACAAAAAGAAAATGAAACAAATAAAAGGGACAAAGAAGTAACCTAATAACTCCCTCATTACCTATGTATCTCCATTTATTTTTTATTATTTATCGATTATACCTATGGAATAATCAGATAGATGTGGAAATAAGAAAGAAAGGAAGAAAATGAAAGAAAATAATTGAGAGAAAAGAGACATGCTAATGGATCGATAGAAGGAACCCTGTTTGTCCCTAGTAAAAGGATCATAGTTCCCTCGGTGTCTGTAGCATGGCCTAAATATGAAAATCTACGTTAAGAGATATGGGGAAAAAAAGAGGGCCAGAGAATAGGATAGGAAAATGTATGGAACGAAGACCAGGCTGCTCGTTTTCGAACCCCTCGAATACGAACGTGACCGTTCTATTCCCAACTGGAAGGAAGGTCTCCCCGTTAATAGGGCAAACACGCGTAAAAAAAAAAAAAAAAGGCGCATTGTAAAGGACCACGAAAGGGGAAACATTTTACGATGTAACTGGCCAGTTATCGATCCTATCTCATTCGAACACGTTGTAGTGATAGGTTGAGACCATTGGTAGGGAAAAAGAGGGGAACGAGACCCTTTGATCGCGTTCCTTCACGGCTCGACGATTGGATGAGGAATCTTTTCGGAAATGGTCAGACGCGCGCGCACGAGAGTGCAAATCTTACGGGGGAAAAATCTTTGCTCTTTGTACTATTCTATCATATTACAATCTTTTACTCGATATAAATTACATTTGAATTCGAAAATGATTAACGATCATAAAATATGACGAAAAAAATGTTGAAATATAAATGAAAATATAAACTGACCTGCCAAATGCCGAGACGCTGGTAGGTACAGGAAAGGGTAAACCCAAACTGAGTCCCCTTAGTCCGAGATGAGGTGGCGGAGGGTGAAGGAAACCCCTCGTAGGTGGCACCAAAGGCACTCCGGGTGCGGTTGCGGACGCGGGGCATGCACCGACCGCTACGGCCGCGTTAGCGGCCCCCGGATAAGTCGGTGGAAGAGAACAACTCCTCAGGGCCCTACGATGCTGTCTCCGCATTCGCCTCTCCCGGCGACGCGCGCCACGTGACTCGTTTGCGAACTCCTCGAGGACCTCGGGCCCATTCTGAAGCGCCACCTCCGTTTGTGCTTCCGTCGAGGTGAACGACCTAACGTTGTTGCTGTTATTACTGTTGCCGTTGCCGTTGCCGTTGCCATTGCCGTTGATGAAATTGCTGCTGCTGCTGTTGTTGCTTCTGTTGTTCCCGTTGTTGTTGGGATTATTGTTTGGATTATTGTTGTTGCTGTTGTTATTACTTTGCCGATTGTTGTTGTTATTGTTATCCCCTCGCGGTTCCTAAAGAAAAGAAATCCATAAGATTTATGGGAGAGGGATCAACGATCGAGTCATGTTATTCTTGCGAAATACCACGGATTCCCGATTACTGACCCGACCATTGCCGTCACCATCAACCAGACCCTCCCTCCCTCCCACCCACCTTCATTCCCACCCGTCTACTACTACCTTTCTCCGTACCATGTGCTTCCCACACGGAACGCCAGCCACCGACCGACAGTGGTTCCCAAACATTTTACACCTGCTTCTTTTGATAAGGTATAATAATTAAATATCTATGTTATTTCGTCATTTTAACTTTTATTCGAAGGCCTATATACTCTCGACTACTTATCATTACGTTACGTTACTTTATTTCTATTGAATGAGGAAACAGTTAAATACGATTATTTACATAAAATAACAGTTAATTCTAATTTTAGAATAAATTTGATGAACTCAATTAATATTAAGCATAGGTCCTAAAGCGAACGATTCGTGAAACTTTCTCATCGTGTATTCTTATTCTATAGAAAAAGGAAAGTATGTTTAACATTCGAAACTTAAGAGAACCGTTGTAATTAATCATGAGAAGAGATAAGAGACTGAGAGCTATGCGATCTCGCATTAACGAGAAACTTGATTCTCCCTGCTTTCTTAATTATGCGAAGAAAAAATTAAGTTAGGAACAAGAAATTCTCTCTCTCTCTCTCTCTCTACATATACACCTATTCATATATCTATTTTTTGTTCTTTTTATCTTATTGGGCCTTGGTGAAACGTGAACATTGTATTCTCTCTCTCTCTCTCTCTCTCTCTCTCTCTCTCTCTCTCTCTCTCTCTTTCTCATTTTCTTTATTTTTCATTTTCTCTTCATGACTTTTCCATTTTTCTCTTTCTTCCCTTTCGATGTGTTAGATAGACCGAGCCCTGACTATTGTTATGGATGCAATTACGTTATTTACGACGCAACCGCGAAGATCATTCCTTGATAAAGAGTTTAAAGACCCGAAGCGCTATACGAGTCCCGTATTTCAACAACAACACACACAAACATATATAAAGGTATTGATATACACTATATAAAGGAAACGTAGGCAGCGGTACTTGGTCCAAAAAAAAAAAAAAGAAGAAAAAAGGAAAATCTTCCGTAGCATCGCTTTATACCCGTAACTATTACGCGGATCCTGATCAATGATACGCTATCGCGTACCCTCCCGCGTTATCAAACCCCATTGCATCGAGCCAACATGTCGTGCTTCTATTATATCGAGATTACTATGTTTGATACCAAAACGCATCGATGAGTACTAGGAAAATTACGTTCGATATTTAATGTGTCAACCTTTAATTATTCAAATTATAATAAATATTTCAATAAAACTCGCACGTCAAAATCATATATTATATTATATTATCGTTATAGATTTTTCCTTTGAACATTTTTCGTAACACTTACTTAATGAAAAATCTAATTTTCGCGTAACACACTTTTCCTTATCTACACAACGCCTCAAATGCATACACTCGTTATGTTTACTCGAAAAGAAAGTTTATATACAAACTGCACATTCAAACACACACATACAAATATATATATATTTATATTTAGTTATAAAACTCCCTTTAGAATCTGGAACGAACGAAAGAAGAAGAAGAAGAAAAAAGTCGCAATCATTTTCGCGCTGGAAAACGTTCTCGGCTTATCTCTTTACGAGGATTCTGATTAAAAAGAAAAAGAAAAAAAAAAAGAAAAGATAAAGAAGAAGAAGAAGAAGACGAAGATGAAGGGAAACGGGGGAGGGTGGGGCGGGGTTGGGGTTTGGAGGGGTTGGAAGAAAAAAAGGAAAAATGTTTGCGTAAAAAGGGAAAAAGTAGGTCGCGGCCCGGAATAGGTAAAGCAGTAGTATTATAAAAATATATCTGCATGGGTCGCGTCGTCCTTAAAGCAAAGGCTTCTCGTTGAGAGAGCTGATGCTGGTGGGGCTTTCGTTCGAAGGAAGAACCAAGTGGATGAAGAAAGTCAACGTGAAATCGGGACGACTCTTTCTCCTATAAACCCCCTCATACCTCATTCCTATCCCTTCTCATTTTCTCCCCTTCTTCATCCTTTTCCTCCTCCTCCTCCTCCTCCTCCTTGTCCTACTCTTCCTCTTCCTCCTCTAAAAGGGGTGGCAGAAAATTTAATAGCGAGTCATCCGAGCACGATCGCGATTCCTCCCGCACGATATATATGTGTATGTATGTATATGTATTTATATATGTGATGTACACTTCATTCCATTCTGTGCGTGCAGCTATTAGGGCTGCGACGATTTAAAGGGGGAGCAGCTTTGATCAAGGAAATAAATTACGTTCGTGTCGGCGCATATAACCGTGAACGCGTGTACGCCTCTGCATTCGGGAATATATGTTGGTATATATATATATATATATATGTATGTATGTATGTATGTATATATGTAATGTGTAAACGCGTATATAGGTTGTAGATGTACGTACGCTAGCGAGGTTAATTAAGGTACAACTGAAAGAAAAAGAAGAAGAAGAAGAAGAAAGAAAAGGGTCCCGTCGTTAAACTTACGACCGATTATACGAAAATGCATCCGTGATGTTACTTTTGTATATACTTATGTATATTAATATACACTATCGGTTAAAAGTTTATAATGTTTATGCCGATTTTGCGTGAAAAAAATTTAATATACCGATAAATTTTTCTAATTATCCCGTCGTTATAATCATAGTACTCGTTGTGATATCCTACGTAATATAAAATATAAAACAAATTGTTAGTGTGTGTAAATTTTTACTCGAAAAATAAATCTATCTATCGGTTAATTTAAAAGATATTCATTTTTTACCCCCTCCCCCTTTACAAATATCCCTATTTCTCTAAATTTACGTAATAATTCTAAACTGTTGGTAGTTAGTGTACATACAACAGGAGCTTGATTGAACAGCATGATCGTAGAAAAAACAAAGCAAATAAATCGAGCGCCTACTGTGTGCATCTCGAGTAAATTAGAACGGTTGTTTACAAACCGATGACAAAATTGATCTACTCGAACGTTTGTTAACCAACAGACAACAACAAATAATCCAGATATCAGATAACAAAGACCTCGATTCATTGGAACCTGACCAAATTTAAGATTTATCTTTTTTAAAAATTGAAAATGGTCGTAACAATTTCCGGAAAAAATATCTATCACGATAAGAAATTTATATATATTATTATAGCGCAATCATTTTAAAGTTCTCTTTGGAACACGTTATATCGAAGAAAAGAAACAAAATTTCAATCGGACCACCGGCATCAAACAATCCAAGCTGATTGCACTTAGTTGACCACTCAGTATACATATATATATATATATACTATTATAATAATCTTTCGTTTTATCCCGCAGAGATATTATTTCTTACTCATTATTATTCGTTTCATTAAGTAATGAATTACGACTGACGATACGAATATATTATAATATAATATAAAATAGCAATAAACAGAATGACCCCCAAAGCTAGCGGGAAACGCGAGATGAGTTGAACTTTGCTAAAAGTACATTAGTTAGCTCGTCATCGAAGACGACGAAGACAACGATGACGACGACGACGACTACGACGACGAGTGAATAAGAGAAAGAGGATGAGGATGAAGAAGAAGAAGAAGAAAAAGAAAAAAAAGAAGAAGGATAAGAAGGAAAGTAGTAAGAACTCTCGAACGAATCGAAATACTCTTTTATCTTTTCGTAAAACCAGAATCCTCGAGGACGTCGAATCCTCTCTTTCTTTCTCTCTCTCTCTCTCTCTCTCTCTCTCTCATCTTCTTCCTTCGCGTTCCCAAGGTAAAACGAGTTTTCAGTCGCGGAAAAACACCTTAATTGCGCTTGATCGTACCCATCCCTCCCTACCACCCCTTCTTTTCATCGGAAGGCGTAGAGAGAACAACAAAAAGAAAAGAATAATAATAATAAGAAGAAGAAGAAGAAGAAAAAGATAAGACTTACCTGATCATCCGTGTTGCTCCTGACAATTACCACGGTACTACCGTCGACGCCAACGACGCTCACAGGCCTCGGGGCATTCTCAGACAGGGCCCCGGCCATCGTACGGTCCTGCACACATTGAAAATCTCCTCTTCTTCCACCTCCTCCTCCTCCTCCTCCACTTCTTCTTCTTCTTCTTCTTCGTCTTCTTCAACTACTCCTTTTTATCCTTTATTCCTCGAGTTCACCACGTTTTCACCACCTTATATTATATCCAAGCTCCTTTTCCAGCAGACACGATCAACCACCTTCACTCTTTTTTTTCTTTTCTTTTTCTTTTATATATATATATATATGTATTCTCTTCTTTCACACAAAACTCCTCGAGATCACCCTGTTTTTTACTCCCTCTTATCTCCTCCTCTTCCTTGTCCCTTTCCTTCCCACTTATTCTTAAAGTCGTGGCCCTTCCTCCGTTTCTCTCCCTTTTTCTGTATAAGTAAAATACGTGGATAGAGATATATGTATATACAAAGGGAGATTGAATAGACCTATGAATATATGTATATATATATTCTGTACTGTATATATATATATATATACAGTACAGAACAAAAGTATTGGAACTGGGTATAGTTTTTTTTATTAAATCCTCTATAAGCCTCGAAAATGTACGATTCGTTATTTCAGTTTTCTTTTGCTTCTTTTTTTTTATGAAATATGTCTCTCGAGTCTGAATATATTATAAGCCAGGGGATTAAATAAACGAGCAATAAAACAAAGATTGTTTTTAATAGTTCGAAATAATTTTTATAATTAAAAACGACTATTTATGCATATTTAATCTTTCGGGTTTTTTTAAATTTTAGATTCGATAGATAAGTATGCAGAATTTACCATAAATCAAATGGATAAAATTGTGTTATTAATATATACATTGATTTAATTTAAGTACGTTGAAGTCGTAAAAATATACATTTTTCTATTTTTTTTAAATCAATTCTAAAAATATATATACCAACAATTACTGTTCTAATAAATTAAATTCTAGTTTTAAACAAATTATAAACCAGCCAATATTTTAAAAGTAAATCAACCCTTTTGCGAGCTACATATTTTAAACCCTGCTAATTAGACAGGACAAGTACACTTTTCAAAAAATCAACTTGATAATACGTAAAAATATATATATATAAAATTAACACATATTAAATATCACGGTTAGATGAAAAGTCACTGATTCTATAGATATATAATTACGTATTCCAACATGGCAAGGATGTCGAACAATGTTCGAAATCCGTTCGCAAAGGGTTAAATAAAGAATCGTCATTTTTGAAGATTCAACAGAGAGAGAAGAACGTACGTTATAGGAAAAAGTAGTAGGTCTGTGTTAATACTTTTGTTCAACACTGTATGAAAAAAAAAAAGAAAACCACCCTACCACCCACCCACCCTCTTCTATTCTATTCCGTTTTCATTTCTCCGACTAAACTTGCATCGTTCCCCTTCGACTCATTCCCTCTCTCTCTCTCTTTCTCATTTTCTTCTTTTATTTTTCTTTCTTTCGATTCTCTCTTTCTCTTTTAGTTCGTAGCGCTCGACCTCTTTCACTCTTCCTTAACACGCGCACGTTTCTCTTTCACTCGCACGAAGTGCAACCTCGCGAGCGGACTCCTTTGTTCCGGACGAATCACTGGAGAGTAGGACGGCCATAGTCGTGGCTTCGAGACTCAAGCATATCCCTTTAACGAGCAGCCATCTAATCGAGCACGGAATTACCACCATACCACCATACCACCACCACCACTACTACTATCTGAAGTAGAAGCACCAGCAACCAGAAGTGGAAGCCGAACCCTCCTTCTTGTTTTCCTCATCGTCCTACTACTACTACTACTAATACTACTACTCTTCCTCCTCCACTTACTACTAATACTACCATATAGTACTACTCTCCTAATGACCAAAGAGAATTGTTCACAGCGATAAGACCTTGTCCGTACCTTCCTTTAGAATACTACTGTCGTACTCCTATCTGAATACAGGCCACCAAATTTAGTTTAACAAAGTCAGCTATTATAATATATTTTACTTTTTCTTTTTTTTTTTTTTCTTTTTTTTCTTTTTAGATAAAAATAAACACAATATAATTTATTTAAAACAAATTTGAATTAACTAAAGAGAATCGTCAACTTGTCAAGATTTTTTAATCAAATGTTTGACATCGTTGTGTGGTTCAAAGTTGCCTGTTAATCTCATCTGTGTAATACTATTCACGTGTTCTAAGAAAATAATTCTTTCGTATTATCTATCGCGACTCTTACAGTTTGTTTAGTCATGTGTTAGACACCACTAGTTTAAAAAAGAAAACCGAACACCCCTATCCTATTTCTAAAGGAACTTTCAAATGGTTGTGACAACTCATTTACCAGTCCAGTTTTGGACCACATGTTAGATGGATGATTTAATGATTAGTCACCCTAATACAAATTCCAACGTTAACTTTAAATCATCTATATATTACTATTTTTTAAAATAAAAATAAAAAATATTAATCTTTTATGATTCATCTCGAGTCTTCCAGTTTTGAGGCCACATGTTAGATACCACTGTTTAAGAGAAAATCGAACAGCCCCCCATCCAATTTCCAAAGGTACCTTTTAATCGTCTACATAGTACCATTCACATATATATTCTATGTACCATCTGTTTCTCTTCCATCTTTTCAATTGGAACAAAACTCTGTACTGAGGGATCGGTTTATTAAGCACTCGGCTATGTTCGGGCGCCATCGGCGATGCTGAAAATCAATCGGTGCTACACACAGCAGCTTTGCTACTCGTCCTGAACGATTTCGAATAAAAGTCAGTATTGATATTTAATCCGTTGCTCAATTTGTTATAATTTTAACATTGATATTTTAGAATTTGAAATAGAAATAATAACGGTTAGAAATTGGAGAGTGATGTTCGAATAAAAGGGAACGAACATGATCCGTATGTATATATATCCATAAAGCGAAAAAAAAACACGCGCTCCAATTATTCTCAATAAAAATCATCTCTCCTACAACTATCCCGTGCATTTTATCAAACATTTAACGCACTAATGTAACGTACGAATCCTTAAAAATAAATAAAAAAAAAACATAATAAAAAAAGAATCGAGTCGTGTTTCTGTCTCTTGTTTCTTTCTTCTTTTTTTAAAAAATAATATTCAACCTAATGATTTTATCATAACAATAAATATACGCAACCGGTTATTAAAATAATAACGATGATAACGAATTATCGGAATAAAGGAAATTATTTTTGTAAGATCCCCTACATCCCACTAGAATCTAGAAATCTCATTATTACGGGCACGACGACGACTACGATAACTGTTTAGTGTCTTTCTTCTTGTAAGAAAAAGGAAAAAAGAAAAAAAGGAAAGAAAAAAAGAAATAGAAAAATATCAAGTAGAATATAATGATGCGGGATACCGCTAAGAAAATTAATTAACAAATACATAAGGGAATTACGTCAAAAATAATATATCGACCACAAAGACGTAATAACATGAGTTTTCCTGTTTCTTCTTTTTTTTCTTTTTTTTTACGTTTTTATTTAGAAAGTAGTAACTAAACCACGAGAAGGTGTCGCTGCAATCCCGATGTACTTGTCTGTCGAGTGCATGTCTCATAAAAATGACCTCTCCCTACTTTTTCTGTCTTTTTCTTTCTGATTCCTGTCTCTCTCTTCCTGTCGTTCTGGGGCAGTGACAACGATACGATTTGGTATTTTCTCAGCGACCTATGCGTCCAACAAAGCAAAGCAAAGCAAAGCAAAGCAAGCAAGCAAGCAACGCTTGGTTGGCACAAGTGTATGTATACGCCTGTTACGAGACTAACTGTATGGCTGTACGTTTACGTTGCAAATTACAGTCGCGCTCGTTCACGACCGTTTTGAGAAACGGTACTTCTCGCGTTTGCCACTCTACGTCTCGTCTAAAACACAACTATCAACCAACGATGACACCCGATTGTTCCTTCCTAGTTATTTTTTGGCTACTACAAATTCAAACGGTTATCGTAAAACATCGTAAATGGAAAAGAAGAAGAAGAAAAAAGGAACTGTATAAAGTTATAACGTAAATCAATTACATTTTATCGTGAATAAATCCGATGATCGAAACGTTTATCAGAAAATATTCTCTTAATTATATGCTCAATAATTTGTAAATGTTATTACTGCAATATTAAATCAAATATAAATGTTCAATTTTTGAAATTCGTCAATATTTAAAATAAACTACGATATCGATATTTATAATAGAAATAAATTTATTTGCATTACGGTAATACGTTGATAGAATATAACACGATGATATGATGTTTATATCAAATATTGGATGAAAATAATAATGTTGAAAAATTAGATGAGAAAAAGAGGCAATATAAATAGAATCTTTATTAGTACTATTATCTTCCGATAATATGATCGATAAAAAGTGTGTGTTTGTATCGTTTTTGGAACGGTGAAAGACATTCCCGAGATTATTAGCAGCTCGTTCGAAAAATAACGACGATATAACAGTTTTCACAACAACATTCACTCGGCCCAGATTCGTAAGAGATCGCGTCCGCGCGACCATCGACGCAAACGATCGTTCGGCTTGAATAATCGCACCAACAATTTCTCGGCTAACGGTTCCTAGCCAATAATTATTCATCCAGGAAAGTATATATTCAACAATATAACTATTTCCCTCTTTCCGCAAACCCTTAATGACACGACACTACGATTAATCATTAAATATTTTACTAAATGTTTTATATTATTGCTTAAACACTTACAATATTATTATTATTATTATTATTATTATTAATTTGCTTTCTATGAACTTCCTTGCCTCTTAAAATTCAACATTACGTCGATGGTACTTGTACGATCCGACTTCAATGAATTTAAAAATGGCGGAATGGAGGACATATTATTTTGTTTTATTTTTTGGAATAAATATTAAAGTACTATTACATATTTCCAGAGGTACCAATTAATCAGACATTACTTACGTCTGGAAATAATGTAATCTATTTAATTGATTATTATACAATGAATAAATAATGATTATATGTGAGAAATGATTAAATATTAAAGGTACTGAAAGTATGACGATAATTTGTGGTTCATTGTTATTACATTCATCTAAAGTTTTATATTAAAAACGATAATATATAATTGTTTTAATTATTATAAGTGTTAACTAATTCGGGAGAGAAAAAAAAGAATTAAAAATCGAATAATTATTTATTAATAAAAAAATAAATGATAAATAATAAAAAATATAAATATCAGTTGAATATCATGTTTAAATTCATTGAAACAATTAATTACAATATCGGATATATAACGTTGAATAATTTTCCAAACACTTTGCGTAGAACCGTTCGAATTTCACAGGAAGTCGCGCCTAAAGCATAAATGCCTGCCGTACTACTTTTTCGGACGAGCCTATCCTCGAAAGATCGGAGTGCACTCGTAAAAAGAGATATATAGATGAGAACGAAAAAGAGATATAGAGATAGAGATAGAGAAAGAGAGAGAGAAAGAGAAATTGAAAAAGAAAAAGAGAAAAGAAAGAAAGATAGAAAGAAAGACTAAAAAAGAGAGCGGTAGAATTTCGGAGGGGAAAACCACTACTATTATTTTCTTTTCACAGAGGAACGAGCATGAAACGTCTGAAAGCACAGAAATCCACGGCGCGCAACGTCCTCATCGTTTCGAGGGAAAGCGTGCGAGTTTCGAACCGAAAATCATCATCATCCTCATCCTCCTCCACCTCCACCTCCACTACTACCACCACCACCACCACCATCATTTCTCTTCCTCTCTTTATCTATTCGTCTATCTACCTTGCTCTTTATTTCCAATTGAATCGAACAAATCACGAAGCGAATACGACTCTCCTCCGTCACAAAGATACGACGATTCATCGTGAATAACAAAAGGTATATCACGCGCTTTCGAATCATCAAATGTATAAACTACTATTACTATATTTGCACTTTCACGTCGATGATAATACGTAAAAGAATGAAAGAATGAAAAAATAAGAGAGAAATAAAACATTAAAGAAAGATTTATATAAAGGAACGGTATCAATTAGAATGAAAATACGAACATTGGTGGTAATATACTGTTATTTTTGGAAATGTGTTATTTTAAGTGTTATTAGACGAGATCGAATCGTTGAATCTTTTCAATGACCAAGTCGCGCTCCTGAGTAGTAATCGATTGTTACTTTGGATTCGCCCGCGAATACGATGGCAGAGAAAAGAATAAATGTATTCGTTTCTGATAACCCTTTAAACTATACTATCCAACTGGGTATTTAAATTTGTGTATATTAACATTCCTAAATACGTCAGAAATTTGCATCTACATGAAATTGTAATTGTTGATAAGAGTCTAGTCAGAGTAACTGAACGATTCGATATATAAAAAAGATAAATATATATATATATATATATAAAGTAAATGAAATATATAAAATAAGAGATTACTATAATTAAAAAATAAACACCACCTGAGATCTCATCGGCAGTGGTTAAGCTTCTGTGAACACTAGAATAAGAACGAATACGAGCTCTGGCATCCGTGATATCAAGAAAAAATAAGAGATGAGAAAGATAGAGAGAAACATGGAAAGTGAGAGAAATAGAGAGAACCGTAAGAGTCGATGGTTGCAAATGTATTTGTACCTCAGCTTTCTCGCAGCAACACTCTCCTGTAGTAAAAATAACGTCCCAACACTTTTCCTCGAGTTTCTTATTCTTCTTTTTCTTCTTATTCTCCTTCTTTTTCTTCTTCTTCTTCTTCTTTAAAACACACTCGCGAGATATTATTGTTAAAGCACCACACAAAGTTGAGACGAAGATAAAAAAAAAAGAAAAGTATATAAAAGAAAGAAGGAAATAAAAAAGAAGCTAATGGGACAGGCGAGTGGCGTGCGCGCGCGCGAGCCACACGCGCGACGCGAGCCGTTTAAAAAAAAAAATAACACAGAAATTTAGAAACGACGCGAACCGTACCGGGGTTACAAGTCGACTAATTCGTCGCGACATGGCGCGCCGTGGAAACACTCGCCGACGCCATCTTGCGACCGACCGCGGAACCACGTGACGCGGGAGAACCAATCAGAGCGCGCCTTCGAAAGACATCACGTTCTTCGAGTGAGTGAGGGAGATAAAAGTAAGAGAGTGAGAGAGAAAGACGCTAAGGAAATATGACGCGCGCGCACGTACGTAAATTAGAACGAAAAGAAAAATTACTTTTACTTTTTTTTTTGTATCTTTCTATTTGAAATTAAAATTCGTATTTTAAAAACTCGTCGATATGTAAATAAAGAATTATAAAATGTTTTTCGTTAAATTGGTATTATTAAAGGTCTTTCGAAAATTGTCCGACGTAATAGCGAAAAATGGCTGAAAATAAGGAGACAAAAAAACGAAATAGAAAAGAAGTAGTAAATATAAAAAGAGTCAAAGAGATAAAAGGGCTTACCAAATCCCAGCAAACGAACGAGAGCATCATGCTCCGTTGTATGCGTATAAAGGAGTACGTTAAAGTTCTCCGTTTGGTAGAGATTGACTCACTGTGTGTCTACGAGAAACTGTTTCAAAGAGAACAACGTTGTCGAAAAACAAAGGGAAAAAATGCGTTGGGATTGTGAATGAGGATAGAAAAGAACTCGGAGATATATATAAAATTCAACGTTTTCGACGAGCCGTATCAAAAACCTTAGCGAGTGTGTCGCAATACATTTTTACATGTATTTTACATATGAGAGCAAAAACGAACAAAAAGAAGGGGTGAGTAAGAAAGAGATGGTAGGATAAATAAGGGCGGTAACAGCGTAACAACGCAAGTAATAAAGATACCAAAAGGAAGAAAAAATATCCGATGGCTCGCTTTTCTATCTCCCTCTGTGTTATTTTCTTTTTTAAACAGACATACTCATTCACGAATACAGAATACGATGTGGTTTCCTTTGAAAACGCTGAGAAAAGCAAAACTGCGATTGAAAGTCGTCACCATTGTCGTTTCTTTTTTTAGAGATCCTATTTACGAGCGACATTTAATTTTCGTTCCAGCAGCAGCACCAGTAATAGCATCGGATCAAAAATCGATCGCGCTTCGCTCTAAAACGTAAATTGCATTTTACGAATTATAACACTTAGTTAGTTAGTTTCTTTTTCTTTTCCATCTATTCCCAATCATTCGTATCGATATCGAGTTATCTTCTCTAGATTTCATTTATTTGAAATTAATGAAAGTTGAAAAATGAAAACTTTTTAAATGAAGTCGTGCGTCAAAAATAAGAAAAAGAAATTAAGCGGAATAACTACTTGGAATTCTCTGTTAAACTATCGAGAGACTAGAGTTATTTTACGATTTAACATTTAGCTTTATAATAGAAAAGATCTACGAAATTCCACGCGATATACTCTATCATTAACTTTTTCCTTAACCCACGTTAAGTATATATGTACAGTAAGCAAGCAGGCAAGTATGTTCGTACATTTGTACATACATATTTACTTTATCTACTACGCGTCACTTTCTCTCAAAGTAAGATGCAGCACCGTGCAAGGCCGTTGCATGCGAGATTAAATTTTTTATCGATAGAACAAAAACTCCAACGTCGTAATAATAAACATACATATACACACAAACACACACACATACAGAAGAACTCGCGTAAAACCGATAGAAATTTACTTTATCGAGATACGTATAAATATAACTTAGCGAAAAAGTGAGCCAATAATTTTCTTATACCCTTGACGTAACACCCCAGTAGTATTTTATTTGAAGGTATACACACCACCCCTCGTAAACGATGATTCATCGTTGCACTATTTATCTTCTATAATGCAGTAGAATGATGCAAGGAATATTGGAATACGTGATTACGGAGAATAGATCCGGCAAATATCAGCAAGTAGGTGCGTCAATTGGCTTTATTTAAAGAGCAATCACCTTCGTTCGTAATTATTAAACCAAATAATATATTTATATAACGCGCATTTAAACCAACATGGAAGGGAGAGGGGGTTGTACAATGCAGCTTAGGCGGGCATCTGAGTGCTCGCTCGAGCGAGACCGTGGCAACGCATATACGTTTGTACAAAATCTATAACTCTAATTTATATAATATAATATAATATAATATAATATAATATAATATAATATAATATAATATAATATAATATAATATAA